GACAGAGAGAGACATAGAGACAGAAAGCGAGAAATCACCCCCCAGGGGGGATGGTCACACTGCAATCCCTTCTCCTCCATTCTCCTCTCGGGATCTTGGGCACGCACGCACACGCGACTGGCGTGAGTTTTAAGCTACCGGGTCCGGGACGCGAACCGCGGTCGACTACGTGGGAGTCCAGTGACATAGCCATTACGCTAACTGCTGGTTCCCAAGATTTATTTATTTCTGAGGCCTACAGGTGGAATGGTGGTTGAGGGCATTGGACTCCCACATGGCCAATCACAGTTTGACTCCTGGACCTGGTGGCTTATTCTCTTACTTTCTCTCTCTTTCTCTCTCACTCTCACTCTATCCCTCTCTGGTCAAAAATTTAAAAATGAATTTAATAAATAAATAAATAAAGGTAAATAATCATTTTTTAAAAAGATTTCTTTATTTCTCTCATGAGAGGGAGAGATACCCTTCATAGGACCTTGCCCGGGCCTCTGAAATAGCTAGCACCATGGACATGTTCAGATCAACTAGGGATCCAAATCCAGGCCTCCCATGTGGCTCCAGCTTTGTGCAGTTAGCACCCTACTGCCTGTGCCACTGCAGGCCGGTGGTTCTTTCCTTTTCCAGGAATGTCAGAAGGATGGGCAGGAGCTCAGGCAGCTAATAAATGTGCTAACAAAACAAGAGATGAAACACCTTACAAGGGCTACTCCAGAAGCAAGGCTCTGTTTAGAGAAGGCTCTTTCCTTTCCATTCAACTGCTTTCCTCTCTACAGCCTCAACAGGAAGCAGCTCAGTTCACCAGCAGCACCTCGAGAGCAGGACTCTGTCCTCCACTCTGCCTCTCACATAGTGGGTGGTCTCCCCAACAGCCAGGGCCAGCCAAGGAGAAGTGAGAATAACTCGTTCAGTTCAGTTCCAAAAAAGCTCCTTAAATGAGTGTTTAAAGGAAAATACATTTATCCTTTTCCCTCATTTCCTCCTTGCTCTTTTTTTCTTTCCTTTTTGCAGAGGGCATGTACACTCACAAGCAAAAGAGAGACAGAGGGGCCAGCAGGTGGCATAGTGGTTAAGATGCTGGACTCCCATATGGTCAACTGTGGTTCAAGTCCTGGACCTGGTATCTTGAAACCCATGTAGAGCGCATGGGTATGTGTTTCCAAAAATCCCAGGGGGACAATGGAGGAGAAAGGATTATGGCATGGCCATCCCCTCTGGGGAGTGATTTCTCACTTTCCCTGTCATTGTCTATCTCTCTCTGGCAAGTCCATGTATCCTATGGCAAAAACTTTTCCAAAAAATAGAGAAAGAGAGAGAGAAGGAGAGGGAGAAAGCACCTCTCAACAAGGCATGGTCATGCTCAATCCCTTCTCCATTTTTCCACCCTGTTGGGACTTTGGGCATATACACACATAGCATATCCCCTCATTTCATTGTTGTACTTCCTTGGAATAAGAATATGATGGCTGGAGCTGCATTAGCACTCTTGGAACATAAGATATCCGAAGAAATAATGAGATAGAAGGAGCCTGGGAACCTGTTGACAATGAAGAGATCACATGACCTAACTTAATATTTCATTTATATAAGGGAAACATGTTTAAGTCACTACATCCCAAACCATTCAGTCAATAATCCGGGTGTCTGATCCATGGAATACTTACCATCCAAACCTCTTTGCTAAATCCTACACTCAGTCAAGGCCACCTCCTCTAGGAATCTTTCCTGGATTACACCCTACAGAAAAAAAGAATCACTTCCTTATTTCATCAATTCCCAGAGATTATTATGGTTAAGAGTTTAGCATCAAGAGTCAGGGATGGGGACGAGCAGTTAGCGTAATGGCTATGTCGCTTGTCTCCCATGTAGTTGACCACGGTTCGCGTCCCAGACCTGGTGGCTTAAAACTCACACCGGGCGCATGTGTGTGCGTGCCTAAGATCCCGAGAGGAGAATGGAGGAGAAGGGATTGCGGTGTGGCCATCCCCCCTGGGAAGTGATTTCTCGCTTTCTGTCTCTCTGTCTCTCTCTGTCTGTCTTGTGAGCGCATGCGCCCTATAGCAAAAACCTCTCCCAAAAAAAAAAAAGAGTCAGGCAGATGTGTGTTTAAATCCAAATTCTCCCAAGGAGTCATGTGACCCTGGGTAAATCATTTCACCTCTTTGAGCCTCAGTTTTATCAGCTGTCAGTTGGGATGACCACACTACCAGAGCCTGGGGTTTCCTGTGGATTGGATGGTAACGTGGGCAAAGCCCCTGGCACCTCATCAGCACACAATACAGCTGCACTGAACTTTCCTAGACATCAGCCATTCATAAGCCACTTTTACCAAAGCCTTGCACACCTGAGAAACGTGGCTGTCACTCTTCCTGATGTGGCACTGATGTATTTAGGAATAAAATGCACAAGCCTCTTCCATCCCCTATCTGCTAGGCTTCTTGAGGATGGGGCTGCGCTGCACTTATCTCTGTGATTAGTCCAGCATCTGGAACACAGAGGAGGCCCATTCAGTATCTGCCTAATTAGTGAGCAAACATTCTCTCACAGCCCAATCAGACCTGGACAGACAGCTCAGCCAAATTCCATTCTAGCACATTCCAAGGGCTGTCCAAATTCTTTTTCATGCTAGACACAGGCTTTATCAAAAATTGCACACTAGAAGCAGGCTGTCAGCAGAGGAGTCCGCAACTGTTTCCACAAACACATCCATGAAACTCGAACAGCTTTTGCTGTAATGGGACTTGTCCATTTCTTGGTGCCCTGGCAAGACCCATCCTGGCCAGTGAAACGTGGCAGGGATTTCACAAAAAGGTTCTTCTTTGAGCTGGACAAATAAAACCTTCTGAAGGAATTTTGCACCACCTCGACAGTTGAAAACATCCCGTAAAATATTTCCATCAGGAAGCGTGATCCTTACACACAGCAAGAGGTGGTGACATTCTGAAAACACAGAGTACCAAATGAAACGTGAACTGTGAGAAAGACACTGCTGGACCCAGCTTCTGTGTCAGAGACACTGGTGAGCAATGGAAAAGTTTTGATGGAAAGTGTGCCCTTGGCCTGTTAAGAAGCAACCAAATAAAATGTCTTTTTGGTATATATGAAGTGTTTTACTGGCCAGATTTATGCCAACTCAGACTGGAAGGTAACTCAGTTCTCCCACTACATCACCCTCCCATGTACTAAAAAAATAAGGCCAGTGTAGGCAGCAGCTACCTGGGACCAGAGGCTCAAAGGCCTACCTGCAATAAGGGCTGAAGCTGGAGTACCAGCATCCCAGACATCCCTGCTGATGGTGGGCAGGAGGCCTATCCAGCAGAAATGGGCTGGACCCAGCAGTCTGCCTGCTCCCTACCCCATCACGGGACAGGGCACGTGGTAGCCACACCATGATTAAGCCTAAGAAGCAACAGTGCACTGGTGTGGGCCAGGCCTTGCCTGTAAATGGGCAACTGAGATGACTTCTCAGAGCCTCATCTGTAAAAAGAGAATGAAAATACCACTCAGCCGGCAAGATTGCTGGGGGATTACATGAGCTCAGGGGGTGTGAATAGAGCTTTGCAGGCTGCACGCAGCCCACACCCTCCACAGGGAGTGGAGACAGGCACACTTGAAGCAACAGCCAGCAGCGTGTGGCTGTGTATGAGTAACCACCAGAGGCAGGTGGCAGTTTTGAGGATTAGAGGAATCCCAGGAACTTGTGGGAGTAGGAGGTGGTGGCTGTTGAATCAGTCTTGGATGGGAGAGCTGCCTTTCACCATGCAGGCCTAACTGTGGAAAAATACTTGGCTGCTGGCCAATGACCCCAAAAGGGCTGTCACCAGAACTGCAGAGTGGTAGACCTAGTGCCCACTACTTATGAGCACCTGGAGCCCCGGCGAGACCATCCCACACCTGCATATGCCAGGCCCAGTGTACGAGCGGCCTCCCCTCTTGTGTCTTAGCCCATCTGATAGAGCCCCCCAAAGAGGAATTCCCAAATTACCTCATGGTACAAGGGAGGAACTGCCTCTTGAAGACGAGACACTTACCCAAGGCCACCCAGAGAATGGAAGAACAAGAACTGAAAGTTTCTTTCATGAGAATGATAGAGAGAGAGAGAGAGAGAGAGAGAGAGAGCATCCTCCACAAGGTTCCATGCCATGATCTTCCCCTCCCACAGCCTGACCAGGAGCCGGGACCATGGCTATTGCATGCCCAGAATGTACATGTCAACCAGGGAACCAAATTCACCACCTTCCATAGAACTCCAGCATCACTTGAGTGGTAGGTGGCCACTGTGCCCCAAGCTGGCCCCAGGCTGGCACTACAGCTCCTGTTCTCCTTCTAGAACCACTGGCAAGTCAGACCTAGCAGGACCACAGCACCCCCAGAGCCACCTCTGCCGTGGCTGCTGTCTTCTCTTGTCTGTATCAATGCCAGCAGGGACCAGGCTTGGCCCACTGCTCACCCAGCACCCCCAGCTCCCACCTGGCCTCCTGCCCACACTGACCATTGCACCCTCCTTCCTCCTGCCTCTTCTCCCCCAGCCCCAGCCATGACCTCATTGCCAAACAAAGCAAACGCGCTGTGTTTAACCTCTCCACCTAGATCTCATTCTTGCAGTTCTGTCTTATGATGGCTGGGTGGGTGGGGGAAAGAGAGCAGAGGGTGAGATTGTTCAACTCTCATCTCTTGCCAACCTCTTAAAAAATGTGTCCCCTGCTGGTGGCCAAGACTTTAAGAGCGGCCCTCCTGCAGTGGCCGAGGGAGTAAGCAGAGCAGCCCTCTCTCCTGGCCGCCCCCAGCGCTCCTATTTATACCTTTCCATCGAGCTATCTCCTTTTTTGGACAATGTCACCGTTTGGCTCGCTGCGGATCTTCAGTCATCGTGTCTGTTCACCAGGGATCGAGAAGGAAAGGC